TCTGTACGCCAAACGGTTGAAGATAAGATGGGCTGGAGATGTAATGCGTATGAACGACAACCGATGGACAAGAGCCGTTAGTGACTGGATTCCTCAGGATGTCAAACGTACTACAGGAATACCACCGACTCTATGGTCAGAGTCTTTCACGAAAAGTCTAGGAAAAAGATGTGATGCGCAACGAGTTGCTAGAGCGAACAGAACCCACTGAGCTACTCTTGCACGCGACAGGGAAAAATGGTAGATTTATTGGCGCCCGCTCGAGTCATTTGGCGATCAACGGGATTACAGGTGATACATGTGACAGGTTGTAAGACCGATATTATGGATAGAATGAAGGTGGTACAAATTTCGACCATCAGTATTCAGTCCCATACTATCCTCTTACAATTTTTGCATAATGTTCCCGAGGACGGCTGCAAATAATCTTGGCAAGATTGCATCTTTCTGTCGCATTCCCTTCTCTACGTTAATGTCAATATTGTTAAAGAATGTTTATATCTTTGTAGTAAAGTTCTTATATGAGTTACGAAGGATCATTATAGTATATAGCGAGAAACGACGTCCTATTTATCGAGGGCTTCCATGACTGCTCCTATTTCGTCTGAGTCCACAGCTTTCATTGATGCGATGAAAGAGAGAGAGAGAGAGTGCAGTTTCTTCTATTTTTGCGAAATTCCAACAAGCATTTTTATTGCGTGGGTGTGCCTCATCGTACTAAGCTTTTTTGAAAACTCTTACTTCTTTTGCGGCTGCCCTTTGCTCAGTGTTCTTTTATTTCTTTTTCGAGTAGCTCAGGTGAGGACTTCATGAACGATTGACAAGAATCAGATTGGCATTAGTTGCCGATATCGTGGAGGTCACCATTCGTAAATAATAACGCAATATTTCTGCTTTTCTATTAAATATGAGTATATGTTTTAACACATATCGTTTGAAGAACTGAGCACGTGTGTTTTTGTAGAGTTCTTTATGTGTTAAAGTCTCTTTTTTTGGCCAAGGGTTGTCCGATTCTTCACGTACAAGGTAACATGTCGGATTCCGTAGAGAAGAACCTGTGGAACGACGTATAAATTCATAGGCTTGTATAAAGCAGGTGCGCGGTGTGTTGTGGAGATTAGAATAGCAGAAGTGCGTGACTTTTCCATTGTCTCTCCGGAACCTGTGGCTGCTCCGTTTGAGTGTCGAAGCTCGATCGGTCCTGTAATTAGCGGAGTTTCGGAGAACGCCTCGACTGCTCTTCTGGTCGTTAGTGGTTCGATTGTTAGTGGTTTTCTTCTTTAGCATCAATTTTTAAATGCATTTCCCGCATAGATTTTCAAGTTCGAACGTAAGTTTACGATTGCTTCTGCTAGTGGGATTTCACGTTTCCGTGCTTGTGCAGTTCATTCTGGATATAAGCGCCTCTGAATTCTTTCCGAATATTTAGCTTTTACAGAAAAAACGCAAAGGTGTGGAATAAGTCATTCGTATTCTTCATTGATGTTGTCGATAACGACTTCTTTCCAAAAGCCACTGAATAATCCTAGTAACTTCCTGATGGGTTACCGCTTCATCGTGGCTGGGAGGTGTTTTTGGGTGTAAGGCTGCGATGCACAGCAGGAGATTTATCCCTCGGGCAGGGTCTCCCAAGCTGAGAAGGAGTCGGCGTTTCCATTAGGAAGCCCAGCTAAGAGTAAACCAATACCAGAATCCACCACCACCGTCCTAGTATGAAACTAGGTCGAACTCTTGTTGACCATAAAGCCGCCGCAGCCGACTCCCCTATTGTCTCATATTCCGAGAAACAATTCTTTTCCGATATCATAGACGGCATTGATTAACCAGCGTTTTTGCCTGTATGATATAGTCCTCTATGGAGATGCAGGCGAGCGTGAATTGTGGGTACATATCGTCATGTCAACCCCTCGCTATTTAGTCAGCCTAAAACGGCCCTGAAATTTTAGCAGCCTCTCAGTACTAGTCCAACGCTGTTCCTGATATTGTTTTGCCTTTTCATTTCTGACTCATGATATTGTTCCACATTGGGTCTTCAGATGGTTTCTTAAAGAGAACTATTGGAACCGTTCCGTAGTTTGACAACCAGAAACCAAGTAAACCATGGAAAGAGCTTGCCTCAGTTAATGTACAATTTTGCTAAAGTATAGCTCTTTCAAAAACGTATATTTCTCACACGCGGTTATTGTTAAAATGATATCGAATATCTTCATGGTTACAGACGCCGTCGATGTTTCACCGTTCCAGGCTGACCAAGACCCTACCTCTCCGGGATGACTAACTTGGTGCCTGAGACTCCTTAGAGGCTAACGTTACGTCAGTAGAGCTACAAAAAACACTGTATTTGCCAAATATGTATTCAGTTACCTTTCTGATGTTTAATGGAGTCGGATGCATTGCATTTCACTAAGAGACTGGCCAACGCCTAATGCCTTATCCCTTTGTCCTTCATCTTTTTCTAACTCCTATGTTCATCTAAACAGATAAGGATTAATAAATCTGAGAGACAGGGGAAACGAAGGACTCGCATGGTGTGGTGGTGAACGCGTTACTCCCCGGAAAGGACAATAGCGCGCCGCATACACTTGCGGTGCGGAGTTTCGCAAATAGCATAATTGAAGTTATATTTAGCAATATACCCTGCCATTAAAAAGAGTAGGCAGTAAATAAAAAGTTAAAATTGCGATTATAACTACAGCCTCAGCTTAACTGGGTTCGTTGCTGATTTGGGCCACCCAGGTCAATCCCGCTGGCGGGTGATTGCTGTGGCAAAGATTGATAGAACTAGCTGAGAGACAGGCGAAACGAAAAACCCGCATGGTGTGGTGGTGAACGCGTCAGCTCCTTGGAAGGGTAATAGCGCGTTCGTTCCCCACCGCATACACATGCGGTCCGGAGTTTTGCAAATATATCAGCATCGTTGAGATTAATAAATCTCTTACCATTCAGGTGCGGTTGTATGCGCCTCGTGATGTGCTAATTGGTCAGTCGGAATTTGGCCTCAACACGGCTGTTCGGGCTCTCGAATATTTCGAAGATTATTTCAACATAGCTTATGCCTTGAAAAAGATGGGTAAGGGTCTGTCGATTAAGAACTATTGAATGATTGCATCAATAGAAGTGCATGCAATCCCTTAAATGTTACCGTCAACGACACTAGCAGAAACTGTTGTTTAAAGTTGCGTAAGTGGCGTAACCCGAATGTTAGGTAGCTCTCTTAATGCACTACCATGAGCTTTCAATAAAAGGTTGATGAACCGACTGCTAACGACTTTGAAGCGGAGCAAAACTCTGGTTCACTCATTTCTCGTCCTTCACAAATTTCGTATTGTGGAGCTCGATAATTCACTGAATTTATCAATGGATGGGATTTTCCTGACCATGTTGTTAGGGGCCTTCTTTAACAGACCACAATGTTCTCATGATTCCTGTAGAGAATGAACAGATTTCGCCGAATCCATGTAGGAAACTAATGTGTGGGAACCGGCATTCATTCCATGAAAATTCTCTAGTTGAGAAATAAAACTACCATTGATGCTTGTGACAATTTCCATGTGATTCGTTGTAAAAGGGATGAACACCTAAGTGTTAAACAGAAAACGATTGCTCCTCAATACTGGAATGGCATTGTCACGATAGAGGACGGGACGGGATTTCACGAGATGGAAACACGTCAAGAAAGAAAAGCGAATTTTAAAAAAGACGTCATTTTTTGGAAAATTGAATCAAATTATAACAAGTACGGGAGTAATTCCCACGAGCGACTTACTATTAACCTCGGGACTGATCAAAGAATTCTCGACATTCTTGTTGGGCAAGTACGAGGTGTTACTTCTTTCTTTATTCCGGTAATGCTAACGTTTCGGGAGTATCTCTTTCTTCAGAGACTGAAAGGGCTTAGTGATAAGCAATTTATCGTGGCAAACGCTTTAATAACACAAGTAGAAAGACGAAAATTTGAACAGTAATCTCACGATCAATCACATGATAATCCAGAGCTGGACCACGTGTGACCTCTGGGCATTCCTCCTTGTTATTTATTCTCGGATTCTTCGCATTTATCCAAAAAGCGTGAAGAATTTTGTGCATTAGTGTTTTGGTATCCTGTGCGAGGAAAGCTTATATCAAAATCGTCTCCGCTGTGTTTTTGCATCCTATGCGTCCCTGGTGGGGTACTTTGTTTTTCCTTTGCCAGGTAGGTGTTCTTTTACACGGGCTGACAACGAAAAGTATTCGGTGGTATTTTAATCATCGCTACCGACTTCTCTGGAGCTGCCCTTCTTAAATATCGTTTTATAGCTACACTTATTTTATTGCTATTAAAGAGCAAGACAAACGGGGTTTTGCTTCGGCCAAACTGTTCGTTTTGGGGCGTCGCTCTCCTTTTAAACTTATCTCGTGGGGTTACTATTTCGTAGCCACTGGAGATGGCTATTTGCCGAGCCAAGTCGAGCAATTCTTCCATTTGTTCCCTGGTAGTGCACACAGAGGTGGCTGTTCAAAACGTGTTTCCCATAAGCGCCCTTTTGTATGTGAAGAGTGGGAAGAGAGGAAATGGACAAGGATGTTCTTGTTACTTGGTTTTCGGTACCAATTTGTCATGCAGCACCTGTCGGATATATTAATTTAAGGTTAAGAAACGGAAACTAATTTTCTTTCGGTTTCTCCCAGGTGATTTTACGAAGCATTTGTCCATCTTCACTTGTTGAAATGTATGCAGGCTTCGAGGCTGGAATCACTCTGACGCTTTGATTCACATTCCTCGAAGGCATCTGAGCAATGAGAACCAGATTGTGTTATAGATAAATGGGGGTGTTTTGTTATTCCAAACGGTTATGCCTTTAATGAATAGACTCTGTTAGAAAATAGGACAGTACTGGTTCGCGAAAGATTTGCAGAACTGCTAATAACTATGCCATCCTCTCTATCTTGATCTTCTTTTTCCGACTTAATGATAAGACCAATAGCTGAAAGCAAGGCAGCAGAATTTCGTGTTCAATGAAATGGAAGAGTTTACAGATCTGGTTGCACTGGACGATTTTAGCGCAGGAGCCATGGAAAATTGGGGTATGATGACGTTTCGTGATTCTCTACTGCTTTATACCGATGGTGTGACCTCTGCAAGTAGTAAGGAGTATATTGCCCTCGTCATCTGCCACGAAGTTTCTCATCAGGTTGGCGAATGGATATTCGGCGCTAATTTTTTCCGGACATGTGGAATAATCGATAAGATTAACTGTTCTTAAAATATTCCGTACTAATAGGTGTTTTCTCTTCATCTTAAAAGACTAAAGAATGCTTAGATTTAAGAAAACTCGTACAAGGTTTCGAAACACTCCATAAGAAGTTGTCGATGAAGGTAAAAAACGTAATATCGTCGCGAATAGAGCTGAGCTGTTTTTTTTCAGTGGTTTGGTAATCTGGTGACGATGGACTGGTGGGATGATTTGTGGCTAAACGAAGGTTTCGCCAGCTACATGGAATTTCGGTGTGTGGATCGACTGTTCCCTGAGTGGAATATCGTGAGTGAAATTTATGGTGTTAATTAGCACAGTAGAGGGTTCATGTAGTTGACCAATGTCAATTTTTTCTTACCAAATTGCTCAAGAAAGAGCTGAATGCAACGGGTTTGCAAAAGAGGATTCCAAGGTTTTCTCCATAGCAGACGAGTTTATCATCCATCATCGTGCAGGTACTTGACTGGCCTGTTGCTGTAATGTGTAGAAACACCAAGCACTGGATTTGATAAGAATATCCTTTTGTACTGTGCCAGAAGTTCATGGCTTCTTTGCGATAGTTCCAATTACCAAATTTTGTTGATTTCGTTCTTTCAGTCCATTTCATGCATGCTTTGCATGGTTTTAGTTTTCATGCTGGAAGAAAAAAAAATCTTTTCGACATTGAAGAGAGTGGACGTGAGAAAAATGTGAGACTGTGGGACTAGAGCTTTGGCAATAGTTTTTTCCAATGAGAGTTTTACTAGTACACTCAAAAGCTCCCAGTGATTTTGCCGTTGTTGGAAATTTTTGTGATTCATGTGAGTTTCTGCACTGGCGGTGAGTGATCAGGAGATAAATTTTTGTAAAATAACGTGGGTACGAAAATTGTTGGAGCAATTTGTCGTCGGAGCAGTGTTTTCTTTCAGATGACAAAATTCTATGCCGAAAACGTGGTGTCAAGTCAGCAACTAGATGGACTACGCAGTTCACGTGCCATCTCCAGTCCTAACTCCGAGGAAACAAACATTCATGAACTGTTTGATGTTCTCAGTTATGAAAAGGTAAGAACCAACCTGTGAGTTTCGTAAGGTGTAACTTGGTTTACGCTGTGCCAAAGGTCATGCGAAAGTTGAAAGCATTTTGTAGTGAGAGTAAAGGGTGCTCACTGTCTGAAGGATTTCTGAACAGTTCTCTTGCGGCTTATACACTAGCGCTCATTTAAAGCCCCTGAAACGGCTATTAACCTTTTTTTCAGTCACAGAACTGGAGCAGATGATTCATTCGGAATGTGATTAATACTTCGAAAATTTGAGTATCAATAGCGTTCTTATCAAGTGATAGGTGATAAAACGAAATGTTGTTTCTCCTTTTTTCAAACAGGCTCTCTAAATGCCACTGCGATCGACTTCTTGAAATTTAAATATTCATTAGTTCTTCTGTTTTTGTATTAGCTATAGTTACTTTTGCCTCGCTACGATTCACCGCCACATCGTGGCTGGGAGGTGTTTCTGGGTGTCGGGTTGCGATGCACATCGGGGGATTGATCCTCTAGCAGGGTCTCCCAAGCTGAGAAGGAGTCCAACATTTCCACCAAGAAGTCTAGCTAATAGTAAACCAATGCTAGGATCCACCACTGTCTTGGTATCAAAGTCGCATTATGGCAAATCTCGCTCTGATCTACAAAGGCTGCCACTGCCTATGGTGGTGAAGACCTGGAGCAGACTTTGGTCAGGCTGACTTCGGTACCAAGTGTAGTTACTTTTGAGTAAGTTTCAAGCAGAGTGAATGTCTTCAATCGCAAGTTTTTTATCATCTCCTAATCGAGCCATTGATGCTATTTATCACGGAGAAAGCTCAGTTTTTTCAGTAAAACAACAGTTTTCCAGGGATCTGCGATTATCCGATTGGTCGAATCTTTGGCGGGTGAAACGATGTTCAAACGATCACTTATCGAATACCTCAACAAATACGCGTACGCTAACGCGAAGGGCTCACATCTGTGGGAAATCGTCCAAAAGGTTCGGAAACGTCGAAGTGTTTTCTTCTTTTAATGTTTTCCAAGTACTCTACTTTTTTCCTTACTTTTTCCTATCTTTTTCCCCTTTCAAAAAAAGTGCATGAGCAGGATAGATATCTTGTAAGAGTAAAGTAAGGGTTGGATAAGGTGTGAATGAAGTTGAATGAGAAATGGTATTCAGTGACAATAAGAAATTAGGGTGACATCCTGAATCAAGCTAAATTCTGTTTGGGGGCACACGACATTCAATTTCAGTACACCGAACTTCCCCGTGGAATCTCCATTCAAGATGTGGCAAATGCGTATATCAAGAAGGTCGGATGTCCTGAGATTTTTGTCACGTTATCTGACACGGAGGTCACTGTACACAATCAGGTCAGCCAACGTTTTTATGGTTTTCCTCCCTTGACCGTTTTTGATTCGGTCGGTAGTGGCTGGTAGTATCCACTGAGTTGTAACTTAGAAATTAAAGAGCATAATATGTGTTTCTAAGCCGTGGAATGGATACACTGTGTTTGTTGGTCAATCACAAACGAATGATTGTATTTCATCCCTGATGTCGCTGTCCTATGGCGTTTGAAGAGCATTGGTAATAAAACAAATTTATAGCCTTGCTATAAAGTTTGTTCCTCTACGACGGCAGCTCCTTTCCTCGAAATCTTCAGATGTCCGTTGCGCTTCGACGCTTAGAAATACTACTCTTCCATAAAAAATGGAACACTTTGGACATTCTATGGATGAAGTGTCTCAACAAAAAAGGAGAACGAAATCATTGGTGATGACGAACTTAATGATGAAAAATTGTTGAAGATGAATAATGGTTCTCGAGAGTGGGGGAGAGTATTGAGTTTAGCCTCGAAGAATTTCTTCAGACTCGCTTTTTCTTCGATGATGGGTTACGAGCCAATACCAGATGGCCAATTCCCATACGCTACCGGACAGACGATGGAACCGAGTCGCAATTACAATGGATGAAGGTCCACGAGAACAAAGGTAGGATGTAATGATGACCTATGGATGAATTCTGTGTCTGAATCGTTGGGCAAAACGAACGATCACTGTGGAAACGGTAACACTACGATAATACGAAATAAGTAATTAAAACAAAAATAAGTAGCATGCATCATCACCTGTTTCTTGCGTTAATCGTAGAGTGACTCGGCAGATGTCACTGAATCTCGACTTTGTCGCTGCTACGTGCGAGAGTGGCAGCCCAAATGATATTCAGAGTTTTAGTGTGCATAATTGCGTCCCTGACCTTTGATCTTTGTCCTAGGTAGCAACTTCAATTCCGTCTCTCGCTTCTGTTATAAGGAATAATTCCAGAGCTATACTATCGACAGCGCTTTCGATAACTTTGATTCAACCCGCTTAGGAGGCGACTATGTGTTTCGCCCTAGTTAAGGTAGGAAGAATAGAAGAGTCGAAAACGCAGATACAGGATAGATGCTCAGCTTTGACGATAAGTTGTCTATTATGCTGACTTACCGACCTAGATACACGTATCTGAAGTATTCCTGGACATTTATTTTGTCGAGTGTGATTGGGATGCTGGAAACAACTCCGTTTACCACTAATACTATTTTTGTGAAGTTTAATCGGAGACCAACTTTTCTACAAGCTAAAACCTGGCTATGAAGAGAAGTGCAAAGCGATAGCCTCAGTTGGTGAGGTGGACAACACGTTAGCTCTCGGAATGGGTAATCGCAGGCTGGAATCTTAGTCATTGGCGTCGTTTAGTGGCTTTTGAACTGTCGGCTTTCACAGCCTTGACGTTAGAATGCTGAATATGCGGGCGGTATTCTTCATCGATACTATCGATAAGGGCGTCTTTCCAAAGGCTGATTAGAGATCTTAATAATTCCAAATCACGGTGGTTATGGAATTCCGGTCTCTGATTTTTGCGGGTTTCTCCTCTTTGCGGGAAAAGGATTCTTGTGCAAATTAGATGTAAGCTAGATCTCCGTGTGAATTTTTGGGATGACAGTGACATCGGTTAAGGAAAATTGTCGATTTGCCGTAGTGCGGGGTTGGAATTAGGCGGTGGTTGTAGTCAGAATTGAACATTAGGACATATTTATTCATATGATCTTATAAACTGATCTTTTTTAGTTGGTGCGAGGTTGGTATAGGTCTTCGTTGTCGTTGTCGTTGTTTTGATGTTATTGATCGATGGCTGACGTTTTGGCGACTTCGCCTTCCTCAGAGCCTGGACGTATCTTATATAAAAATACTTTAATTATTCGGTGGAAAGAAAAAGGTTAAAGTATTAATGAAGATCAAACTTTTAAATGGACCCCATACTGAACAGAAAGGCTACTCACCGTGGTGTTGCGAGTTGTTCACGTGGGGTCGCGAGCGAGGCACACCCCGGGGTCAAAATATCATTTTGAAATAGGGCGCCAGGTCACGCGTGATAGTGAGGCATTCGTCTTTCTGGTTCATCTTTGGATTTTTGGAATTTATCCAAAACACCTCAAGAGTTTTGCGCGTTGATGTTTTTGATTCCTGCGCTTGGATCCTCACAGTCACTTTAAAATCACCGCCATTGTGCTTTTGTGTCCTATGCGTACCTAGAGGAGTGTTTTGACGAATTTTAAGTTTCCCATCTAGATGTTTTTTTATGCGGACAGAAATGGGTCTACCCGTTTCTCCAATATACTCCTCACCGCTTGCGTTACATGAGATCAGAGGTGGCACTCATCAGGTGGAATTCTGTTGTCGACTTTCAACGAAATATTTGCGAATATTTGTTATTTGGTAACAAACAACGTCGAGTTTGAAAGGAGGGTGCTGAAGACTGAACTGATCGTTCGAGCGAAACGAGGTGATAATACGCAGCCAAGTGAATGCAATTATTCTTCGATGCTATTCTGGTCTCTTATGTGTTGCCGACTGCAGAACATCTCTTCCAAACTTGGGAAACTATACATCTGTGCAAGTAGACAGCATAAACAGTAAAACGATAACAGCATCGGGGATCAATGACAATATTAAACGTGAGTCTAGTTTCTATAATAGAACAATGGAGTAGGATCAGCAGCATGTGGAAGATAAAGCACAATCAAACCCGATCTGCATTGAGAGACACCATTCCCTGATGGCGAATTTTAGACGTCGGACGAAGGAAAATGTTTGTAGAATAGACATGACTCGTTTCTAGCCCACTTTTTGAGAGCATGTAAATATTAAAACCAGACAGAATTGCACAATGGTAAGTCAACCAATGGTTTTTAAAGTGTATAGGTACTGGTACGGAAATTTATTACAGAACAGTTACCACCCAGTTGTGAAACAGATAGATTTGTTGTAAGAATGCAACTTACAGATAGAAGGATGAAAAAGGATAAAGCTCTCGGGGCTGACCAATCCCTGAGGGATGCGCCAAGCATTCGACTTCATTGAGTATCGTTTGAGGTGATTGAATGCATATCTGGCCTTTGTAATGACTCGCGGTGGCCTACCGATGTATCGAGACGGTGCTGCTATCCTCCCAGACAAGTTGCTAGCAGTTTGGCGACCCTGGAGGAATGGAAGGCTTGGTGGGCCACTGTCACGAGGATCGATCCCACGTGTGTGTCGCAGGGTACCTCCGACCACTGGCGGCCCAATTTACAGATAAAGGAAGGAAATTTTATAGCTTAAGAGATAATATTTTGTAGAGTGCCTCTGTGCGAGGTATTTTATTTTGTTGCACTTCAGTGGCAGACTTCCATGCCGGAATCTCAAGACCGATGTTCTTTTAACCTCGGCATTGATCAGTGGTTCACTGTTTTTCTTGATAAGCAAACAAAAGGTTGTTTGTAGAACATTTATTACGGCACTAATACAATAGCGACGTTTCAGCTGCTTCGCTTTCTTCAGTACCTCTGAAGGTCTAATTGACCCGCAATCTACTCAGCCAAACTTTATGGTAACAACATCCTCGTTTTTGGTTATCAAGGATACCAATGAATTTTAATGAATTTGAAATCCAGCGTCCAACCTTGAGAATGGAGGTTTTAGAATTGTTCGTTACCATGGATGCTCTTGGCCATCATGGCCATAAACTTTGACGGCCTTTCGCCCTATTCTCCCAATTATAACCTGTTGGTTCATGATGTTACGTTGCTCAGGCATTTCACTTAATTTCATTCTAGTGTCGAAATTGTCAACGCCGCCGACTCTCCATTTATCGCGTGTTCGGACGATTCGTTTTTATTCCTGTTAGGGATCGCGTTCAACAAACGCTATCCTCTTGTGCTACAAAATCCGGTAAAATAATACTGTGAGCGTGACATATGTTACAGCTACAGACCGTCACCGGAATGCTTCCAGATTTAGGGGTCCTAGAACCGGTCTGCGGTTTTAGCACCGTCTCTCTACTAGTACTGCCCCACGTCGCCGTATCGGGAATCTTTCTGGGTCATGACAATGAGGCGGTTTTATTCTGCAGTACTTGGTTATCGATACCTATGCATAACCTGCCGATGTTTCAGCAATATATACACTCGCCGGTAACTTGCCAATCTGTCCTCCGACGTTAGACGTGAGGATCAGTTGTTAAAATTGCCTCCTGTCTCTCTCCGTGATTCCCAGTTACTCGATTGCAGGCTTTTGGCCCAACTGACTCATAGAATGCAATCTGGATAGTCGTGCATGAATATGTTTAGATAAATACAAAAAGCCATATTGGCGCAGAGCCATTTCCTGGACTCAGTTTCTTCTCAATGGAGCACAATGCCGCTTTTGGTCCACGCTTAGCCCCTGTCGTCCACTCGGGCACGCCACTTTTCCGCATTACTAACGGGCTGGGGATCCGCTATTGAAGAAGATCTGTGCATAACTTGCATACAGTTTCCACCCAAGAGTTCAACTATGAGTGAGTTTATAGTGGACAGGCATAGTTATCATCTCGTAATAATGCGTAAATGCCAGAGACCGCTGTAGATGTGATTGGATCATTTGGCCACAGTGGACGAGAATTTTTAATTAGCTGTTTTTCTACTTACTGGCGATGAGTTGTTAGTTCGCAAAAAGGGGCTATTGAACAAAAAGTTGGAAAGCGAAGCCCACCTTTACCATTATTGAGCTCGTATCATTTATATATGTAAATCTTCCAATCGCAACTCCTATAATTTCAGTAAGTTGGCGTTTGAAGAAGAGTGCTAAATGGGTGGTGGCGAACACGAACGGTTTGAGTTACGTGAAAGTCCGCTATGACGCGAAAAACTATGCAGAACTTGCAAAACAACTGCGCACCGATCATACGGTAGGTGTCCAAGAAAGCTTTCCAGCGATTCCCATTCACTTTGTTTGGTGCTTATACATAAACATAAAAGAAGCTAACCACGTCCTCATATTTTTGCGCTACTTATCTGGGTGATAATTAGTGCACTAACAAGCCTACACGAGGCTGTTAAAACTTCATTATGGTTAGCGTTTTGGCACGTCCACCTCTTGAACGGCAGTGATTCGAGGCGACTGTCACAGCCGCTCATTCTTGCGATACGAAGTTTCTTTATCGCGTCAAGTGTAAATCAGTGGTGTGAGACGAAGTTGGATTCTGAAACCTAGAAATATCGAACTTATACACTGTTACGCTGTGGAGAATCATTGTAGCGGCCAAATATGCATTGATTGTAATTTGCGATGCTTAACTGATTAGAATGCATTCCATCCCTCATATTCAAAAGAATGACAACGACGAACGTTTTACTTCATATGCCTACGAATGTCTGCATTGAAATGCGCTTCTGAACAGTATTCAAATTGCGGTAAAACGGGTTGATCTTTAAAGATTTAACAGAAATGAGGAGTACAACAAAACAAATTCTTCCATTTTTCAAAAACTGGGTAGCCTCACCACTAGAATGAACTTTGGCTGTTTATTAACATGCGTAAGTCGTCGGACCCTAGGGGCATTCACTGACCGAATTGCACGGATACGAAGCTGTCAGCTGAGTTGAAGTTGTAGTCGTTCGACGACGTGGAAAGCCTCATATCTTCTTTGTGAATATGTTTCCAGTTGTGGTGCTTTTAGCAAGAAAGTGCGCACGGGTTGCTTTTTGTCCTTTTTTAAAAGTAGAGATGGTTCCCAGGGTCGACTTTCTATTAACCTCGGCATTGGAATATGAATGCGTCGTTTTCTTGTTCAGCAATCGCGAAGTTTTTAAACGGCATACATTTACTTCCATAGAGAAACACAATACAATACAACGCTAGCTGACGTTTCGGCAGTATCGTCTTCTTCAGAGCCTGGAAGGGTATCAATCTTCTGTCTTAGTGACAATGCTTCCTTCACAAGTCGAAAATATTTTGCTGGTACATCTTGTAATAGTTCCCAGGATCGACTTTCTATTAACCTCGGCATTGGAATATGAATGCGTCGTTTTCTTGTTCAGCAATCGCGAGGTTTTTAAACAGCATTACCCTCCCAGGCTCTGAGGAAGACGATGCTGCCGAAGCGTCAGCTAGTGTTGTATTGTATTGTGTTTCTCTATGGAAGTAAATGTATGCTGAGTAGAGATGGTGTTTTTTGACGTTACTTTCAAGCTGCAGATTCCAGCCGACTTGGTCTCCGACTTTTGGCCGAAACAGTTCCAAGCACGCTTTAGGCAATCTGGCGCTCCACTAACGGAGAGAACATCACTCTTTTGTACTGATGCCTTAGAATAACTATATAGCCGCTTTTGCTCCGCTTTCAGTCCGTTAGACCTATCATTTGCTAAAGCTCCTGACTCGTACTTGACGACTGGTGTGCTCGACATACAATAGAAAAGGATTGAGCTCTTAGCGTTGATCCATCCTTGTGGATGCGTTATGCATTCGACTACATTGGTGGTGATCGAATGCATATCTGGTCTTTACAACGATGGTGACCTACCAATGTATCGAGCTATTTCTGCTATCCTCCCATACAGGCCTGGTACCAATTTACCGACTCCGGAGAGGGAGGAATTAGCGGGCTGGAGCGTGGGCATCGACCTCATGTGTCATGTCAGTGCAGGGCTCCTCCGACCACTGCACTACGCGCTCCATTCGGCATATGATACGTAGATCAAATTCCTCATCTAAACTGATCGGCATTAAGGCGATTTTGGCTATCGATCGGACAATGCTTCTCGTCGACGCGTTTGATTTCTCAAAGTCGTCAAAACTTAGCATCGAAGTCTATCTCAATCTTCTATTATACGCCACAGGTTGCGTCTTTTTGCTCTCTTTCGATCACAGAAATAACAGTTTTCAGACGTTTGGAAATAATAAGGTTCCAATTTAGAAGAGATGGATCACTTAGTGTGGATGATGATCGACGAACAAATGAGGTACATTGAAAGGCTCGTCGAGGAAACTCCAGTTGCGGAGAGCTTCAAGGTAGGCATTCTCTCTATTTTTGTCAAGGCTTTTCAGAGCTTGTTTTTCACTTTCGGAATCTTGTCAAAACGTCTTTATGTTACGTGAGATAATTCCTGTTTTTCTACATAACACGAAATTAGAAATACAGTGCAAACCAATCCATGCATTCGATTTGCTCGTTCGGATCCATGATCCTCGGATTTTGGTTGTTGCTCCGGCTGGTATTTGATGTTCATTGTCTACTTTAAGGATGTCGTTAGATGCTGGTCGAGTCTGTTTTCACCCGACTCCCGGAAAAGCCGTGCTGGTGCTCTAACAGTTACTTCCCAGCTTCCGGCCATCGCAAGAGAATTTGCAGCCTTATGAATTAGATTCTTCCATAATATCAGAGATTTTTGTATAAAGACAAGGTTTTTGGTGCCTATGCCAAAGAGCTACTGTTTCGTAGTTTTTGGAAATAGCTGTTTAAAAGGTCGATTTTTTGGGATTTTCTGGGATAGCTCTTCCTCGGCTCTTCCTGTGCGTACACTGGCAGCTTTTCGAAACATATTTTTCACAAGCGCTTCTTTTGTGTATGAGGATTGAGACGAGAGGCAATGAACCAGTCTGCTTTTATGAGATGGCTTCTCTAGCACTTTCCTAGCAGTTTTCGAATAGGTCAATTTGAACGTTCAAAGGTGAAAGTGTGTGGACCAGATGACAAAGCAATCATCTATATTTCCACACTAGAGTAATGGCCGGAGATCGGTTTTTTCTGTTATGCTTGTTTAAAGAAAAGTTCTCACTCAAGGATGTTTAGCTAGGTGTCACTGCAATGTGCTTAAGTAGTGACTCGTTGCCATCGAGGTTTCTCAGATCGAGAACAAAACGTGTTTCTCAGAACAGGATTGATACGAGTCCGTGGTCCACCAGTGGTCGTTCTTGCGATCTAGGTGTTAGTTGTCGCCAAGAGTGGAATCTAGTAAAGTGGAGCACCGCTGGAATGAGGGATATCACTCTGCTCTGTTATCTATTGATCAATGACACAATGCATCGATAGGCTTGCTAAAGCTAGGATTGAGTCACCTCTGCAATACTTAGTAGAGATGGGCGCTTTAAGAATGCCTACGGGATTATTCAACACAAAATATTTAACCTCCAAGACTTACCTGGTGTTTATAATTTGAGAAAAGGAAAGCAGTTCATTATTATAAGGAACTACTTGTGAGACCAACCAACGAAATATGGATACTCTAACACAACTCACATAGTGTTGTAGAGAACCACGACCTTCATCTGTTAACGAAACAAATTCCATCTATAGAACGAGGGTTCACTTGCTGTCACCGACATATTTTGAGAGTGTCTGGCTGTTTTCGTTCGTCTATTAATATTATAGTGCTCGCAAAGGGTACAACAAGTAAGTGACCGTAAGTGGTTTGAAAAACCACGAAATTAATTTAGGTTCTAAAGATTTAGTTTGAAAGGTATAGCACTATAAACAGTGTTCGAAAAAGAGCAATTGTTATTATAATGGACTCAAGTGAGTCCTTTGAGAACCACACTGTTTAACTAACGCATCCTTTAAATAGTGATGCTTGTTACTTTGCACATCACACTACTCCGGACCACTATTACTACAGTGTATAGATCGTCGATAGAGAAGATTGGACCCTAGACATGTAAACGATCTAATCATTGAATGATATTTGGAGAAGCAAATGAAACAGACTGAAAAATTGACTTGGTGTGTCCTGGGTTTTCGAAACCAACAGTTGCTCGACCTTGATCGCCCAGTGACCTCTCAACTTAACATTTTTCCTAAGTCCACGGCAGGTTAAAAGTCGCTTTGATGAAATCACTATCGCTGTGGTACGCACTATTGGCTGAACAAACAGTATGAATGCCATGTTTAACGTTTTGTTTTCTGCCTTCTATAATTTTCATGGCAGGTTACTAAGCGAAATACAACCACAACGTTGCTGAGATATTTGCAAAACTCTGGACCGCAGGTGTCTATGGTGGGGAATCGTTCCCAGCAGCAACGTTGTGGTAGTATGAATGCCTTTCACTCTTTTAGAACTCAGTAACATGTTGGAATACACAGACCATCGCATAATATTTCCACTACTGGAAATACCATTTAAGGGCGAAATATTAGACTAAGGTTACTTTTCGAGGTTACTGAGGTAACACAATATTGGTGCAGAAAGATTTGTTCGGTAACGTTTTGGCGCGTTACCCTTCTCCAGAGCCGCGTTAACCTAAAGAGATTGTCTACACTTGGTCGTCGTTGCGAAATGAGTGTTCGTTTTCACATCGAGTTTGGATGCAGGATTGAGAGGAAGGCGAAGTCTATGCACCCACAAGTGAAAATGTTTCTGTTTGAGTCCAAATCGTATAATCCCAGCTGCCATTAAAGTTCGTCGATTTAATGATGCGGGAGGGGGACAACAACATCTGAAAGTTTTGATGGTAATCCAATTTTTTAAAGATAGGTGTTAAAATATGCGTTAGATCTCGGTAAGTGTGAGAAAAATCAGAAATTTCAGAACCTTCAAAGAGCGCTAGTTAAACGACCGTATGAAAGGGTTGGTTGGAGCACTAACAGTTCAATGACTCCGACTCAGAAAATTTTACAGGTATAAAACATTTATATATCTGCTATGTAGATGGTTTGTTTATTTTTCTTTCACCGACTTTCCATAATGGCTCTAAAGAGTTAGAATTCTCTTCAAAGGCGACGGTGATTGGAATTGCTTGCCGCCTAGGAATTCGAGATTGTACTAAGAAGGCTCAAGTTCAATTTGATGAGTGGAGTACCAGCGGGAGGAGGTGATCGTTTTGTGTTGAGAATAATTCTAAACTTACTTGAAGGTCCTCTCAACGAACGTAGGGGTCTATTTCAGTATAATTACCGTTTAGCTGTTAAAACGTTTCTGAGTTTCCAACCGGATCTTTTTATTGGACGGAAGTCTGAAACTTTTAGACTATTTTTCTTCGAAGATCACGGCAATTCACAGCTTTTGCTTACTGTTGGGGCTGTAGACGAACTTTCGAACAATCTAAATTTCAAGTATATCACTACAGTGTCGTCGTTTTAGACCGTCACCTGAACTCTTCCGTGTGGTTTTGAGGGAGGGTATTTGTCAAAGAGATCAAGACGCATGGGACAGCGTTTACAAGGCGTATAAGAACGCAAAAAGTCCAACGGAAAAGAGGGATCTACTGGTAGCTATGGCATCTACAACGCAAACAACACTCATTTATCGGTGAGGCACTTGAGTATCATACATGTTTACCATTTCTTTGAGTCCAAACATTTTTCTTTCCTTCGAAACAGTTTCATAGCTTTTAATTTTTTCTGTCCCTCATCCATTTCTATTAGGTTGTTCGGAGACTAATCCACGGCTTGTTATTTTATCGTTTTTCTGTATGCTTTGGCAATGATCACTTTTATATAACATTGCAAGGCTCATAAAGTGCGATTTTACTCTTGTGATTGAGGTCAAATACAAATCCTGTTTATAACAATTTCTTGGGGCGTGTGGCGCAGTGTTCGGAGGCGCCCTGCAACACACGTGAAATCGAGCCACGCGCCAATAGCCCACCAAGCCTTCCATCCCTCCGGAAACGCTGAATTGGTACCAGACTTGTCTGGGAGGATAGCAGCACTGATTCGACACTTCGGTAGGTCACCGCAAGTCATTGAAAACGCCAGATATGATTTCAGTCAGCTCCAAAGGACGCTCAATGAAGTCGAATGCATGGCGCACTCCTCAGGCATTGACTAACTCCGAGGGCTTTGTTCTTTTGTCCTTTTAACAATTCTTGTAGGCTAGAACTTTAAAACAAAACAGCGATTGCTACAAATTTAATCCCACGAATTCAGACGCAAGCATCGTGTATTCAGGCGGCTCGAACGACAAGTACCATAGAGTGCAGGCTCAGGGTAGTGGTATCGAAAGTAGATTGCAACTGTTCTGAAAATTTGGAAAATTTCGTTGTGGCGAATTCGACCGTAATGATGGAGAAGATCGTGGGCGTCTTTCTGGTATCGTCAACGACAAATTAAAGACTTTGATGAAGGCAAATGCACGCATAACCTTTCAAGAGGTTGAAAAAGCTCCGATTCATTCGATTTTGAATGTTTAAACTGCTTCAAAGAACTTCATAATTGGGAAGCCAAAGAAGTTCGGCATGTAGACGCATCGTTAATGGACTACAATCAAGGAATTGCCGGTTTTTGGGCAATGTCAGTAATTCTCAGCATGGTCAGAACAATGTTTGCCCTACAGTACTGTGAGGCGAAGAGAATTGAATTCTTCAAGGCACCTGAAAGACAACTGGAACGCATTGAAGCGCCATAGCATATTTCAATTTGCGAAATGCATGTAATGAAGGTTATGCCGTTTATTACCGTTTGGTGGTTTAGCGCTACGTTGCTGCATCACAGTTTTCCTACTCCGACTAAAACGATTATACCAGACAGGTATGTGCTGATAATCAACAATCGTTCTCCCAAATAACGCTCCGCTACACTTCCCACTCCCAACACTGAAGAAGTTGAACGAGCTGGACTACGAAGCTGCATCATCTGCTATACTCGACCTCTTGTCCACTCACCGATCGGCAGTTCCTCAATTAACTCGACATCTTCCTTTAGGGGAAATCTTCGAGTGTTTTCAAATCCATTCCGAGGTCGAAATTGTCTTCAATGGTTTCATCGCCTTCAGAAGTGCGGAGTTTGATGCAATCGGACCACATCGATTTGTGTCTGGCTAGCAAAAACGTCTATAGTCGAATGTTTTAACTTATTATTTACTGCCTACACTTTTTAATGGCAAGGTATACTGCAAATTATAATTTCAATGATGCCGAGATATTTGAAAAACTCTGGATAGCAGGTGTCTGCGGTGTGGAACGAAAGCGCTATTGCCTTTCCGGGAAGCAAGACGTTCACCACCACGCCATGCGGGTCCTTCGTTTCGCCCGTCTCTCAGCTAGTTCTATCGATCTCTGCCATCCCAGCGGTCCGGAGCTTTGCAAATATCTCAGCTTCATTGAAGTTATATTTCGCAATCTAGCCTGCAATTAAAAAGAGTAGGCAGTAAATGATAAGTTAAAATTGTGATTATAACTACAGCCTGAGGTTAACTAGGTTCGTGGCGATTTGGGCTCCCCAGATCAATTCCGCTGTTGGGTGATTGCTGATGGCAGAGATCGATAGAACTAACTGATGAGAGACACGCGAAACGAAGGACCCGCATGGTGTGGTGGTGAACGCGTTTCTACCTGGAATGCACAATAGCGCGTTCGTTACCCACCGTAGACACCTGCGGCTCGGAGTTTTGCAAATATCTCAGCATCATTGAAGTTATATTCGAATGATTTCTATTTCGATTATTAACGTTTACTCCGACCTGAGGTGTGCGACATTAAGACAAACGTAGAAATCACGGATTAATTTTCGAACAATCTGATGGCTTCAATCCAAATTGACAAAAAAATTTGCATAAAATCTTTTTTTTGGCTTAGTCTTAGGCTTAGGCTACCCCTACGGCTACAACATGTTTCTTTGCTCGGTGGATAAGCCAATGTTTGAGCATATTCATCGCTATTACGAAAATCGAAATATTGCTGTTTCTGCTATCATTGTAATAATGGCTTGTTCTCCTTAGAATATTAAAATGTTCAGTTTGTTTAACTAGAGATTTACTTATTTGTATGCGTCGTATTTTTCTTAAAATCTCTTCAGGTTGTTGCGCCATTGCTTAGATGGTTCGTCAATTCGGCCGAACGTCGTTCCATCCGTTCTGTTCGTACTCTCGAAGAACAGCGCCACCAGAACGCTTACGTGGCGTTTCTTTCGTGCCAACTATAAGTATTTCGTGAAGATGTGCGTTCAGAAAACTCTCTATTTCTGTTCACCTACGCCATAATAGGACGTGTGTGGCGCAGTGGTTGGAGGTACCCTGCAACACACACGTGGAATCGATCCTCGCGCCCATGGCCCACCAAGCCTTCTATCCCTCCGGAGTCGGCAAGTTGGTACCAGACTTGTCTGGGAGGATAGCAGCACTGGCTCGTTACATCGGTAGGCCATCGTGAGTCATTGCAAAGGCCAGATATACATTCAGTCACCTCCAACGATACTTAATAAAGTCGAATGCATGGCGCATCTCTCAAAGACAATGCCGAGAGCTCTTAGAGCTTCTTTATGCGCCATAATCTTTATTATGGTTTCTTGTATTGTGGTTTTACTGCGGCAAAAGCCTCATCCCTTTGTGATGATCAAATTTCAAATGGTCCAAAGAGAAAAAAGGTAGACAAATGTCTAAAATCGATGGTCCAGTTTCACCGCTTTGCATCCCAAAGCACATTTTCGGATTCGTGGATATTTTGCTTTTTAAACAATATTAAAATAAAAGCAAAAGTTTGTAAAATAAAAGCGCGAATAGAAAGCTAACATTGTGATTTCAACTATAGCGTCAGCTTAACTGGGTTCAATGCCGATTTGGGTTCCCAGATCAATCCGATTGACAGATGATTGCTGATGGCACTGATCGATAGAGAACTGATAGGCAGGCGAAACGAAAGACCCGCATGGTGTAGTTGTGAACATGTTGGCCTCCGGAAAGGGTGATAGCGCGTCCGTTCACCATCGCATACGTCTGCGGCGCGTAGTTTTGCTAATATCGCAGCATCGTTGCTGTTGTTTGAACAATGGTTTCTTATCTTGAGATCTTCAGATTGGCGACTAGCGAAGCGACTAAGTGTTTCCCTATTGATAGTGTAGCAAAGAAAAATCCTTTATTTTATATTCTGCACTCCGAATCTTCGTATCCACTAAGCCGATGTAAGCACTTGAATTCGATTCGTTTTTAGCATGCGTTCTTGGAACTTTTTGCGTGTAGGTTTGGCTGGTGTCTTCTCTGTGATTACCGGTGAATGCTGTTTAAGCCGGTTTTCCCTGGAGTCTTGGGATAGCCAGACCAAGCGTTTCCACTCCGATTACAATGAGTGAACTGCTCCTGTTCAAATTTAGTGCCAATTTAGCAATCTCGGAGAGATGAGAGGTCTAATGAGCCCTAAACAGGGTCGACCCGATACCGCACTAGTGAAAAGCAACATCGCTATCACTGCCCTACCTGACCCCTGCAGCGAGGGATACTAAAGCCTTAATGAAAGTTTGGGATTACATTCATGGTTCGGTTACAATAGCTGCTGGGTAGTGAACCACTGGTTGTGAGGAACAACTACTGCGTACAGTGAAACCGCCGTGAAAGGTGGCCGAGGAAAGCAAAACACCATGAAAAGAGGTGTTTGGGCTTGCAGAGCGGGCAATTATTTAACTAAGTGAGAAATTGTAAAGTCGATTATTAGACTAACAGTGGTTTTATTGTTTATATAAAAAAATAATCTCTTTGTTTTTCTACCGTTGTTAGCTTATTTGTCACCTATGGTTTGTTGAATTTTAAAGTGATGATCGCATAGGTTTGGCGATGAGTCGCTTCTACTTAGAAGCATAAAAGTAATGGCAGATGATCTGAGCACTGAAGAAGAGCTTGATGATCTGAGAGATTGGCTCAAAGACAAAAAGGCGGGTTTTGTTACTACCATTATTGGTACTACTGTTATTATCGTTAGTTATATAATCCGTAAGTTGCTATGGTAGGCTAAATTGTGAGTTGTAAGCTATTGTCCGAAACCTTTTCAACAGAGGTATCTTTTTCATATTTGTACATTGCGCCTCATTTTTATTCCACGGACAAATAATTGTGTTCAATCTCTTATCCGAGCGTAGCGGAAGAGTTAAATGAGTGTAAGATGAATAAGTGGGTGATTGCCCAGATAAAGTTGATAATGAATGAACACCGAAAATATCGTTGGTGTTGACCTGAGTGAATTTTTCCATAGGGTTATGCATTTCCCGAAAGTCAAGTAACTAATTAGATGAAGGAGCAAAAGTACTGCCCTCGCAGGCGTCACTTGTTCATCATTTATCAAAATGTTCATCATTTTCGTGAGCAGCTGAGAGGAAAAGGGACTTTAAATAGCTCACCGCTTAAATATTAGTAAAACCGTTACCTAATCAGCCGTTTGCAGGGTCCATTTTTGATTTTCGCCATCTCTGCATATTATTCTAGTGAAATTAACTTTTAATCTACATCCTTTTTAGTTGGAGCATAACAAGGCTACACTGAGTCGGTTGTTCGACCAGATCGAACTGAATATTCAGTGGAGACGCCTGAACGAAGGGCCGCTACAGCAGTGGCTTAAAGACTGGAGTAAACAGTCCGGAGGGAGTGGCCATTGAGGTAGGGGCCATCAACATGAATATCTCTGTTTTGTCTTTCATAATTTTGATTTTCAATAACCTTGTGATAATCACGGTATTTCTGCTTTTTTATCGACTTTGCTCTCATTTCTCCACATCCATGTACCTTTTCGCCACAAAATACTCGTTATCAAGGTTGCTAGTCGTGATTTGCTCGGCATATGGTTTATTTTCATAAACGTGAATAAAGACTTTGTATGAACTACTTCTTCATGAATGAAAATGATGAGATCAAACTCCACCGATAGGAAACCTGAATGATGGCATTAGATAGCCTGAGCAAAAATCAATTTAGGCATTCCATCACGTGGAAATCACTATTTCTCTTTAAATTTCTTAAGTAAAAAGTAGTGCTATGAATTGACATGGTTTCCTAAACCCTCACTTATACCATGAAAATTTATGTCAACGTTATACAACCACAATGATGCTGATATATTTGGAAAACTCCGGACCGCAGGTGTCTGCGGTCGGCAACGAAGACGCTGTTACCATTTCAAGGGATTAACGCGCTCACCACCACACCATGCCGGTCATTCGTTTCGCCTGCCTCAGCTAGTTCATCCTGTTAGTGCTATTGACTATGGCAGCAAGGGTCGGCAAACTTATCTTTCTTGGTAACTTCGGAACACTGAGGAATTCGTTCACATCTTTACTTAGAAATTTCTCGGTGACTTTGTGAGGATCCTTCGGTACTCTTCTTCAGTGTTGCCAACGGCGGCTCTCGTCCATATAGCAGATTAAAGTAATACAACGTTCGCTGAATTAAAAGCGTTGTTAGACAGAAGTTTCTTTTATTGAAAATATAAATTTGCCGACAAGTCTTATCAATTCTTCTCAGGAACTACCCCTTTAAAAGACTGGTGGTGATTAAGGAAAAAGACAAACGCTGATGGAGTATCATTATAAGTCTTTTGGCCTTCACTGTCACGTAAAGGCTGGAACATTAAACCGATTGTAAATAAAGGTTGAGTTAAGCACGGTAGTATTCGTTGACGTCCACCACTGCGACTGTTCCCATAGAGCCTCTAGTTATAACAGCGAAATTAGCAGTCAACCTTCCGAAAGAGAAGCAGTCGTATAAAATGGTTACAAATACTTCAGTTTAGTGAGAATTTAGTGATTGCCTGTCATGGAAAATCGTAGGGTGTCCGACTGAGTTATTACGGGTGAAAGCACCGCTTGGCATTTGCGGTAAGTTGGATGGAAGCGAAAAACGCGTCCAGTACTCATGCACATCCCTCAGAGAGGATAACCATTGATGATAATGTAAAGGTAAAGATAAAGTTACGGTTGAGCTCTTGAAAGGATGCCGATGGATACAGCCTAAAGAAATCGAGAAAGGATTTGTAGAGCGTTTTATAAGGTCACCTGGGTTGACTGCTAAGGCTACTGTTACCTCTTCATTTTCGCTGATTTTCTCTTCTCTGGTTGACGGAAAGTTTGATTTACTTTTGTGCTGTTTTATTGTAGACTAAGTTTTGGTAAAACAATTTCAATAGATAGCCATACACCTCTTGTGAACCCCTGTAGGAAAATCGTAGCATTTCGAATGCCAATGGCGACGTGTGTTTTCAACTTTCGTTTAGGATTCTTTCTCAGCAACTGATTCCATCTTTACAGAGCATAGCTTTTTCATTTTACCCAAAATCAGTATACAACACACTACTAGTCCAAGTACTTCCGACATTCGAATGGTTTTCTTAGATACATAATCCACGGAGGCCTCTAAACTTGCTCCGTGTAGCTGCGGTTGCTGCTTGAGGATTTTTAAGATTCGTCATGAAGGTGATTGAACGGTGGTCGAATCGATTCTCTCCGGATCCTGAGATAGCTGTGTTAAAGCGTTCTAGCGCGAACTGGGGGAAGAGAGCCCCTCTTATACAAGACTGGTACTGAGTTTTCGATCCCGGAGGGGCGAAAGGAGTGATAGGCCCGGGGTATTATCGAGCCAGTGCCTGGATAAGTTGGGCAGTTAACGTAATGGACGAGATCACCACCACTGCGTTACACCCTCCCTATTCACCATAAGACTCGTTATTAACGTTAATGTGAAAAGGTCAGGTTGTCGTTGTGTATTGAATGAGACTACCATCGTTAATAGACAGAGCCTAAAAGAAAGAATCAAATCCTTTACGTTTGCAGTCGAGTTCTGCACAGCAACAGTCTTCTCAGCTGGAAAGCGTGGAAGTAGTTCTGCTCCATTACGCGCTTCAAGCAACGAATCGTCACACTGAGAAGGGGGGTGGGCTCCATGTGCATGGGATAAGGTGGAAATAGTTTCAACCGTGTTTGTGCTGTCGAAACCTCACACTTACGTGGCTTGATTGAAGAGCGTATCTTTTTGAAACTATATTGATTAGAAAACTTTATATCTGAGAAGCTTAGAGATACTCTTATAAGGTCAGAAAGGGTTTTTTAGATAGACGGAGATCGGTTTCCAATGAAAGATAAGCACTGGAGAATCGCATGAGGAGCCAACATCACTCTTCTCGAGACCACCTCATTAGTATTCGTGATTTCGTTCCATGAACACGATGAGATTCATCGACCGTTCCAAAGCAGAACTTCGAGTAGGGGAATCAAAGTCTGCTCCTGATGGGTTATCCACGAAATTTTTATCGAAAAAGATGTGTAATTTGAAGAGGGTATGATTTTACCGCTTTCCGGGAAAAGTAGAGAGGATGTTCACTTCATGAGAGTCGAAATGTAATAAATGTGATTGGTGGTGAATTTTGAATGTATCCCAATCACATACACATTTACTTTCTTCCTTAGCTGTTAGTCCCTCTCTATTTTAACTCCAGCCAACTAGTAAGTATTCTTTTTGTCAAAATATCATTGCAAGTGCAGGAGAAAAGTGAACTGAAGGCCTATCTTGATGATTTCAAAGCTGCTCTTTAGAGGAAGACACTGAAGAACTAACAAATGCACCCGATTTTGAGCACTTTCTACCCCCTAGCCCAAACAGTTTCATTAAAGGAACGCTAACACCGTCCACATGAATGTGCCTGTATGTTTTGCAAGTGTGAAACACCTGTCCTCAACATTGATTTTCGACTTTTATTTTACTCCTAACAAAAAATATCGCCTGTATTGTTTGCGGCAAACAAATTTGCTCAATTGCTGTTTAGTAGGCTTTTGAAGTATAGGAGTAAATACAGTCAATGACAAATGCAATCTTAATGGGTATCAAATCATTCAACCTGCTCTCAATTACCAGGGCGGTCTATTGTTGATTGACGCACACTTAAGGTGCCAGCTGACTACCACACTTTTCCTACAAATCCTTTATTTCCGTTTTCATGGTGAGAAAGTTATTAATAACACGTAACTCTGTCGGTGAATAGGCTTGATGTAAGACGGGTCACTGAACCTACATATCGAATTTTTTTTTAACCTGGCACATCTGGTCGGGTCAAAAGCTTTCTACAGGCCGTCGGTGTCCATAAAGAAGAGTAAGGCGATAAATCAGTCGGGGCAAGTATAAATGAGGACAACTTGTTGTCCAAGCTCAGTGGAATCCGATTTGCGACACTGAGTTCGACAGGTCACCGACAGACCAAAGGTGTGATCTGTACAAAACGATCGTTGTAGTACCAGCCACTCAAAGCGCTTCGTGAGGGCTGACCGCAGTTACTCACATGATTCTCATCAGTTCAGCAAACAAACGAAAAAAGAATGCAAGAGATCTGGTCATTGGATAGAGATACAGTTGCTGACGAATAAGTCGACTTAACTGCTCTCTAGTGATATCACAAAAAACACTGATTGCGGAAATCGAACGCTTCGACTAGCAAGTGATTAGTTGTTGACGAAGACTGAGATAGAAAAAGTGCGTGCTCACTGGAGAATGTAACCTTGGGCTCTATGTGATGGTTATGACGGTTTTGTTAACGGAATCGAAACGTTTTACATTACTTTTGAACTTCTTTGACTGTACTGGTATAAGAGTTGGAATACTGTATGGTGCAAAAATATTCGACAATTTGATAACCTCCAACGAATGAATTACAGGACGCATTGTTTCTTTACAAACAAATCATCTACCTATTAATTCTACTATTTTCAACGCACCGGCTTTTTCACACTTTAACTGCAGTTATTTCAGGCTGTCTGAAATACTGCTTCCAGAGCATCAAATTCATATTGTGTTGCTTCATTACTTAGATACTTGGATGGCACGTCTTCAGTGGTTGTGCGGCGCCTAGCATAATTTCCATTTTTTGGAGTATTGCTGGTTTAAGCTGTTGAGGCTTCCTGCAGTCTCGAGGTCAGCCTATCCAATTTCTGTCCCAGGTCGCCACTACCTCAGATAGTCCCGCCCTTGTGGATCAGAGGGAGATTTGCCGCCATGCGGCTAGTTTGATACCAGGACGGTGATGGATCCTGGTAATGTTTCACTCCTGGCTGGGCTTCCTAATGGAAACGCCAGACTCCTCAGTTTGCAAGACCCTGCTGGGGGATGAATCTTCCCGCTGTACATCGCAGTCCAACACCCACGAAGTCCTCCCAGCCACGATTAGGCGGTTGACCGTTGCGAGGATGATTGGAGGTAGGATGGTGAGGTTGTTGCGTCATTGATATAAATATAGCTGTGCCTTCGCGAAAGCAATCAGAAAAGTCATCAAAACGTGAGACACGAACGCGCTCCACATCGAAGAGTGTACAGGTATTTTGAAAAGTTCCAGTACTGGGATATTAGTCCGAATAATGAAGAACGTCTTTGACTCTCGTCAAAATGACGTTGATCTTCAGATGCGATATTGGAAGCTGACGCTTTGGGTTACTTTACATCCAAAAGTGGAATCTCAGCAAATAAAGAGAAGATGGCAAATAGCTAAAAAATGTTCTTTGCACTTTAGATTTTCCAGAAACCCTCTCTTCGACATGTTCGTTTTGTTGCGCCAGACTATTGCTCTTTGAGCATACAACATGAAGACTGCGGACAATGGACAAGCGGAAATTCCTCCACACGA